AACTAGGAGTAAGGTGAATTGTACGAAATTTAATAAATGAGACAAAATCTATTCAAAATCTAATTTTTAATTTCTGAACAAACGACTGAGATGTAATATATTATTAAAAAATAAATCTATTGGTGTAGAATGTCAGCTAGTCCAATACTAAATTACAAATAATTGTGTGAATACTGACTACGTCGATTCTTTTAAGGGGACAAAAATTTTATTTTTGAAATTTTTGGATATAAAATTTTACCAAATCAAATCATTTTCACCGACTTGAGGACAAATTTCTATTATATATTTATATATTTATTAAATTTTTAAGGTATGGTAAAAAAAAAATGTTACATGCAGATGATGTAGTTCTAAGAGTATGTTAAAAAAATACTGTTATTTGATTTGTTTGAATTTATGTCATCCAAACATAGTTTAATTCATCATAATTCGATTTCAATATAGCAGTGTTGTTGGTAAGTTATACTCCGTAACTAATTAATTTTGACCAAACATATTTTGTCTAAATTTATCTAGACTTGTTTTGTTTTAACTTTTCGAATAAGTCAAAGTAATTTGACCCGCTCGTCAACCTTTATAGCCTATAGCTATATTTGTGGTTCGACCTATCCGCTCTAGAAAATGGATACCTAATCTAGTTCATTCTAAATTCATTAACTTCGGATCGAATGTGAATTATTTTTTTGGTACAAACCATTAAAAATGTTTGAATAAATATTTGGAAAAATTACTTTAAATAATTCAACCTTTGCTCCATTCTCACAAAATAATCCCACCTTTTAATTATTTCAGAATAATCCAACCTTTTACCCCCATCTTCCATATCAAACCAAGCAGGTCACTTTGCTTACGTGTCATGTTTTTATTGGTTTGGTTTAGATTTTAATTTACATTTTTTTTTTTCGGATTTTTCACCAAATACCACTGAGTTAATGCAAAATTCACCATATACCACACAAAATTTTCTAATTCACCATATAGCACTGAGTTAATGTATATTAACATAGAATGCCTTTTTTGTTAATTGTCGTTAGTCTTCCGTTAACTCCGTTAAAAATTAAGTTAATTGTGCCACGTGGCTTTCACTGATTGGCTCTTATTAATATTATCTAATTAATTACTTAAATAAAGAAAAAAAAAAAAGCCACCACCAACATCCCCAGCCAGCCACATCCCTATCCCGACATCCCCCGCCGGCACGGAATCCGACAACCCCCCGCCGGCGCCCCTTCCCTTCCCCTGGACCACCGAACCCCCATCTGCAACCCCCACGGCCACCAATCCTCACCTGACCTCCTAAAACCGACCAGCCAACCACCCTGAAACCCCCAAAAATCAACCACCGCAAAACCCCCCTAAACCCAACCGTTACTCATTTGCACCACCGTCTTTCATCGGAATATCTAATTTTGGTTGTTGTTAATTGATATCAGAACACACCCATTCCCACCACAACCGCCGCAGCACTCGCCACTTTCAATCATTCGTGTGGGTGGTCGACTTTTGGGGATTTCGGGGTGGTGGGAGTTTTGGAATAGTGGTTGGGTCGATTTTTGGGGTTTTAGGGGGCAGCTTTGTGAGATTCTGGTAGAAAATAAGATTGTGTGGAAGCTTGAGAAATTGTTCAGTCATGGCAGAAATTTAGCTTCCATTTTTCTATAAAAAATTCTCTCTCCTCAAAAAACAAGTTGCAGTAGGGGATTGGGGGTGGAGGTGGATTGCAACACCGGTACAGGGGGATTGGGGGAGAGCGGCGCAGCATTGGGGCAGGTGAAGGGAGGGGTAAGCGCAGCCGGCCGACGGCAGGTGGAGGTGGTGGTGGGGGTTACGGTGGTCAGGTAGGAGATAAGGGTTTTCTTTTTTTTAAATTTTTTTTTTTTGATAATTAATTAAATAATTATTTTTAAATTAAATAATTTAAAAGGCAACCAATTATAAGCTGCCACGTGGCACAATTAAAGTTAATGACTAATTGAGTTAACGGAAATGGCATGTTGTGACATTTATGTCAAACTCAGTGCTATATGGTGAATTAGAAAATTTTGTGTGGTATATGGTGAATTACGCATTAACTCAAGTGGTATTTGGTGAAAAATCCGTTTTTTTTTTTTTAAAAAAAAAACCACCTTTCTCTCTCCTCTCTAATCCTCCATGACCACCTCTAGCCAACACCGACAGTGGTTGCTCCTTCCTCGAAACCACCTCTTCCACCCCTGAAACCCCGAAACAACCCATAACCAAAACCCTAGCCCCCGAAACCACCTTCTCCACCCCTAAAACCGCCACCAACAATCCGAAACAACCCACAACCAAAACCTTGGCCCCCGAAACCACCTCTTCCACCCCCGAAACCGCCACCCATAACTTGAAACAACCCATAACCAAAACCCTAGCCCCCGAAACCACCTTCTCCACCCCCGAAATCGCCACCCATAACCCGAAACAACCCATAACCAAAACCCTAGCCCTCGAAACCACCTTCTCCACCCCCGAAATCGCCACCCATAACCCGAAACAACCCATAACCAAAACCCTAGCCCCCAAAACCACCTTCTCCACCCCCGAAATCGCCACCCATAACCCGAAACAACCCATAACCAAAACCCTAGCCCCCAAAACCACCTTCTCCACCCCCGAAATCGCTACCCATAACCCGAAACAACCCATAACCAAAACCCTAGCCCCCGAAACTACCTCCTTCAACCCCCTAAACCACCACCCATAACCCTGAAACAACCCATAACTTAAACCCTAGCCCACGAAATCACCTCCTCCACCCCCGAAACCATCCAAAACCCAACCCCCTCACTTTTTCTCTTATCGAAAAACACAAATTAAAGGGGTTATTTATATTTTTTTTGGGTGGGAGTAAGCCGGTTTGGAAGTGGAGGAGGAAGAAGGTGGGCCAGTTTTTGAAGCCGGCATGTTCGCTAGGGGAGGGGGGGCAACAAGTCTGTCTCTGTCGGCGAGAAAGAGCCAGAGCGGTTGGGGGAGGAGGAAGAAAAAAGGTGGTGGGAATGGAGGAAGATGGTAAGAGGGAGGAGAGAGAAAAGGATGATCGGTTGTTCAAGTAACCGGTCATCTGAGTTCATTACGGGAAGATGGGTGTGAAAAGTTGGATTATTCTAGAATAATCCAAATATGGATTATTTTGGGAGAATGGAGCAAAAGTTGGATTATTTAAAGTAATTTTTCCATATATTTTTCAATATTTTTGTTGTATTTGTTAGTTTTGATTTATATTCTAGATATTGTATGACTATCTATCAATGAATTAATTTATTTTCAAAAAAAAAAATTTAAACTATCCTTTATAATTTATTTTTTTGGAATATCCAAAATATTTGAAATATCCAAGAAATTGGGTATTCCATTCGGTTTTTTTTTCTACAAATAATCACGGATAATTCGAATTGAACATCCATTCTTTACAAATTGCAATTTAAATTACTCAACTAATAATTTTCGAATATTCGATATTTGGGATGGAATCATCGATCAAATTTGCAAGTCTTACTAAACGAATGGGACAGGAAAAAAAAAAACCAAACAAAACTAAGGCTCTTTTGCTTGCTGTGAAACTTGCCAAGCAGTACGAGTTGGAGGAAGTAGTGCTGGAGTCGGACTCTCAGGTCCTTGTGCATTGTCTCTTGAAAGCAACTATTTATTTTACTGATCTTAATAATGCTTTTGAGGATATCTGTCGTTGAGTTGTAACTTTAAGTCTTTTTGTTGGTTTCATGTAAAAAGAGATGACAATTTTGTTGTGTATCACCTTGCTAGGCTAGTGCCATTTGGAATTGAACAGATGTGGGTTAATCACTACCCTCCGAAAATATCTCCCTATGTACTCTCGAACTTAATGTCCTTACATTAATGCATTAACTCAGTTTCCCTCGGAAGAAGAAAAAAAAAAAGAAGGCTATGGAATCTTGTCGATATTGGCTAGGTCCAATAGATATGCATATGCTCTATGACTATCAATGTTCAATATACGTATTTTTTTTTTTTTTTATGTGCAAACTATCAATGTTCAATATGAGTAAATAGTAAACCCATGCCTAGACCCTAACCAGGTCATGTTGGGCTTGTCCAACATGCCTTACATGAGTAACTTTTTAAGTTAAAAGTTATGCTAACTTTGTTAACTCTTTTTTTTTTTTGTTCCACCCGCTTCACTTTTTGGGCTAATCCGAATTCGAGGATTAGTTGTGGGTGGTTAGGTTTCACTCTCCTCCCAGTTATTGCTGCGGGGGATCGAACATGCGTCCTCCCAACTAAATGTAGCCTCAATCACCACTACACCAACAACCAATTGGTAACTTTATTAACTCATACTTGTATTAGAATTTAACTTATCAGAAAGAAATATTTTTCCATCAAAGGTTGCTCAATATCTTGTAGTCCCTTCAATAACAAAGGTTGCTCCGTATCATTTAATCTCTCAGTCAAATATGTGTCAAGATGATAATTTATTAGAGTGAACAAAGCATATCCTACACTTATCATATTTTTAATATTTGTATCTTACTTTGTATCATATCTATTTACTATTACTAAAACAAAATGTTGCTGACGTCATCATTGTCCACATGTTACTCACATAATAAATTTTTTCCCGTCTAAATGCAAGGATGATGTCATTTTTTTTTGTAGCTGCCATATTTAACAATTTTAAAATTTGAATATTATTAGCTTTTACATTACAACTATAACCTATCAATTTAACTTTAAAAAATGAAACAATTGTAAATAGTACACTAATGAAAGGACTCATACATTGAAATATGTATTAGACGACGTTGAATATCATAATATTGATGAAAATCTAAAACTATAAAATTACAAATATTTTTGTACAAAATTCATAATTCTTATTCATATTTATCCATTATTTTTTAAATATATACAAATTATAAAATAACCGTGCATCGCACGGGTTCTAACCTAGAAATCCACTATACAATAAACGGTGGAAATATGTGTTAAATTAGGAATTTGTATTTTATAATGTTGATTACATGGATCGCACGTGTGATGTGTCCAATAATCGAATAATTAACTCCTAAATAAATAAATAAATCACATGAAATTACAAAAATACCCTCCATGAAGATCTGTGACGTACATCATCATCGATGAGTTTGATGCCGTATCCTCCACCAACACCATCCTTCTCCCTCCAATCCTTCCTTCTTCCTTAAACCCTACCCATTTCTTTTTTCTCCGATTAAATTAATTAATTAAAATTAAAATTAATTCCAAAACCCCCCAATTTTTCCTCCATTAAAATGAAATTAAACCTTCAAAATTCACTCTAAAATCCCCCAAAAAAATTAAAAAAAAAAAAAAAAAATCAAAACTTCGATATGCCATTTTCATCAATAATTCTTCTTCAACAATCTTATCTTCTTCTTCTTCCTTCATCATCTTCTTCCCTCAAACCCTTCAATTCCTAGCCCTAATTCAAACCCTAACCCTAATTTTCTCTCTCCTCCATTCCCATGGATCCTCCTCCTCGCCGCGGCGCTCGTGCTGTCATCGACCCGAAAGTCCGACAAGTCGGGTTTTTTGCGCCCGACAGAACTCGGTCGGATTCCTTCTCTTCGTCGTCCTCGTCTTCTCCGGTGGGCGAGATTTCACCTTCCGGCAACTCCCTTTCTCCGGTGATGATTCCACCACCTCGCCATTCTTCCGACACCCATTTGCTGCTATCTTCTTCTCGTCCTGTGGGACCCCATTACCCTCCTGTGCCATCTTCGCCGCTTCGTCGTCCTGCTTCTGATGTTGCAACTGCCCATCTTGTTGTTGGGAGCTATAATCCTTCGGATATATTTCCTTCGGAGTCGGAGAATTCGGAAGATGTAATGGTTTCGCCTTCGGGTGGTGGGAAGGGTAGGAAGAGTGGTAGTAAGTTTGCTTCTTCGATGCCGAGTGGCGCCAGTGGTGGGTTTGATTTGATGGTTGGTAAGGCGGGGAGAAATGGCGGTGTTGGAGTGATTAGTGGTAGCTTGATTACAGCTTCTGGAGTTAATTTGGCAGCTGTTGCTTTAGGTACATTGTTGATTTCTTGCTGGTTTTGTTGTGATTTTGCTGTTGGTTTAGTTTAGGTATATTGCTAAATTTTGTCTGGGTTTGTTTTGTGTTTATTATTGGCTTAATCGTGTTTTTACTTTGGATTCAAGTCCGGATACTTCGTTTTTTTTGGTTGATCAAACAATTGGCATTTTTACATTGTACAGTATGACTAGCTTTGAAATGCAAGGTAAAATAAAGCTAAACAGTGTGGTTTTCGGAGTTCCTTTTTTTATAGGTTTGTGAATGGTAAGCGGATTAGTCATGAATTTGAGATTTTGATTTTGTCCACATATGAGATGAGAGACTAAATTGTTGGGAATTTTTGCCCCGAGTTGGAGAGGAGAGTGGAATGTGATTAAGTATTATCAGCAATAGGTAGCAAAAAAAATCCCGTAATTTACATAGTTTGACAATATTCCTTAATTTGGGACAGATTTTAGGTTTTCCTGTTTTGAAATTCAGAAAGAGTATCAACTGGGTTTCTTGTTAGTTTATGTCGTTGACTAGCTTATATGTGAGATTGTGAGGAAGTGAAGTATGAAATTGTTAGTTTGCATTGACTGCTAGAGTAGGGAAGGCAACGGGAAGGACTTTTTTATGTTTCGTGATTATAATTAGTAAACAAAATCTCAAATTTAGCGCCTATGGAAAACCTTATTGAAGGGTCCCTCTCTAACAAAACCTGCGGAAAAGCTCAACTTGGACGAGCTTGATGTATTTGTTTTTAAAAACTTCTGAAATAATACTTATTGTGTTAGTTGTAAATTAAACGGTTAAGAGAACTAAAACCTCTGTCAAGTTTCAACAGGGTGGCATGCAAGAGACCATGGAATAATTAATGCTCAAATTTTTTTTCCTTACTAGAGGAATTGAGCTTACTTCTTTTCGTAGTCCTACAAATCTCTCTTGCAGTTGCTTGAATTTGGTTTCTCATACAGCCCTAGCTGCTAAAGGATTGTCAAATGCCAATCAGGAAATGATATTCTTCTTTCAAACAAAGGTCCCTCTTTTCTTCTAGAAGAAAGACATGAAACCTCTGGATAATGTTTCATCCTTGTATGATCAAACTCACATTTGGAGCTATGCTATGGATTTCATATAGTATATGGGTTGTTGTTGGAAAATTTTTGGTGGGTAGGGGGTTGGGGTGGGGAGTGTTTCAGAAAAACTGTTGCACGGCTTTAACAATGTTCCCACCTCTCACGACTAGGTGGTACCCATTATGTTTTGGTAAAATAGTATCCAATTGGTGGAAGAGGTTAGATTGTGAGTGCATTGATCCTTGTCCTTGCAAAAATTACTTAGTACTTGAGGTCCTTAAGGATGTTTAGAAGTTTTAATGGCCTGTAGGAAGGAGTTTAGGTTGAATTATGATCCATTTTAGTTTGGTAGTTGGTTGAAAATAAATGTGTGTTGATGATTCTACACGGAGGTATTTGTGATGTTCACTTTCTTGGCCAATCTAAGCAGTGCACCATTTTGTGGCAAGTTGAAGGCCATCAATCCATTATGTTCAATGTACTCTGCACACGTGTTTGTCTCTTTAATACGAAGTCCATTGATCCTTGTAAAAAAATTATTGTGTATATCTTGTTGGTTTGAAGTTATATTTTAAGATTTACATCATTTTCATCTGGTTATGACTTGATATTTTAAAAAAAAATATTGATTTTTGCCAGTGATTTTGTATATACATTTGAATTAAGTGCATTGGAAAGTAATGAGTGTGTCTCATGATGTATTTTTGCCTTTTCTTGATGTATACTTTGTTAGATCTCTATGTAAATATAAGTACCAATTCATCTATTATGTATTAATTGTATGATTTATTACTACCCATTAGTTAATACTAGTCACCCAAATCTACATGAAGGATATAGTTGAAAAGGGATGCAAACATTTAAGTGTATGATTAGTTAATGGCTTGATGCTCTTGGTCGTCACATGACAAATCAGTCTTCTCTTCCTACCGAGTCATTCATTGTGGATCATTTCATAATTAGAGAATGTGCTTATTAAAACTTTGACCATAATTTCCTAGCCATGAAGGCAAAGTTGGCTTTACATTGTATTCAACTTTTAAGCTAGTACTTGTGGACATGTGGTAATTCAATTTGGATATGACTGCTCATGTTCAGTAAAATATTAGTGTAATTTGGAAGTTAGCTTATCAAGCTACTGTATTGAGCGGAATGCAGTGTTGGGGGCAGAGATCCTTGCGATTATTGTCTTTTATAATATCAACTAGAGGCCCACCTCCCCACTTTTTCTAGATTTAAGGTTTTTAGCACACTATGCAGATCCATGTCAATTTCTTTGTCTTCTATACATCAAATTTGCTTATCTGAGCTGTTGTAGCATTATTAAAAAATGAAGAATTTCCGTAGAAAAAGTTGGAGATGCATCGACAGATGCTCAAAGTGAACAACATGGCAATTCAAAGCCATCAAAGGAAAAAATGTCAAAAGCAGAAAGACGTGCACTTCAAGAAGCCCAAAGGGCTGCAAAGGCTGCTGCGAAAGGTATGTATAGCCTCATTGTCTTCATGATTTATGAATTTGATGCATACTCCTAAGAAAATTTTGATAGGCTCTTTGCAGCCGTTCTTCAAGATATATTCTTTAGTGAAAACTCTTGTTGTTTGAAATATGGAATCAGTGGTGTTTTTGGTTTAGGAGGTTTAGATAGCTTAGTCCTAGTCATACCTCACAATCCGTAATTACATAATACCTCACAATCCATAATTACATAAAACTAATCTAATAATGCATCTAATGCATATGCTTGTCACTTTGTCAACAATAGTAGAAGGTTTTATTCATTTATTATTTTAATTGACAGTTATCCCAATTGGCATCTTTTAACACTGTATTGATTATCTATATTCTTTGATTTGCTTTGCCTCCGTAGCTGAAATGGGTAAGGCACCAGCCGCAGCTTCTGGAGCAGGGAGTTCTAAGCAGGTGAAAGCTGCTAAGGCTTCTGTTCAAAATAAAGACAATGCTTCTGTTGCAGCATCTGAGAAGAAAGGCGTTGATCGTCAATCAGAGAAAGAGAGGAAGAAAGATGTCCCTCATCCGCGCATGCAGTTTGATGATAAGACACGGGTGGAGAAAGCGAAAAAGAGAGCAGTTGTGAACCAAACTGAAGCCAGAAACAGGGTTGAACTTTTTAGGCACCTGCCTCAATATGAGCATGGAACACAGCTTCCTGATCTGGAGTCAAAGTTTTTCCAACTAGAACCAATGCATCCAGCCGTTTACAAGGTATTATCTGAAATGTTTAGCTAGCTTGAAGTAGAGAGGCTGTTTGATTATTAGTTATAATACTGCAGACCTCTCCCATTTAATATTGCCTCTGTTTATCTTGTTTCGGTTGAAATTGTAGGTTTCTCGGTGTTGGAATTGGAATGAGATTGATAGTTCTGTTGCTCATAACTCTAGTTTTCTGGATGGTGTCCCTACTAGGACTTGAAGTTATAGGCCTTTTCTCTTTGAATGTGGTAATATTTGGTGGCAACAGTCTATAAATCTCTTGACCTTGTTCCAACCTATCTCCTTAACCCCTTTTGTCTTCCACCATACCTTGCTTCTGTCCTGTCTTTCCAGTGTCTGCGCTCACCTCCATCTCTTTCCTCCTCTATTCTCTTGAACAGTTTAACCACTCAAAAAAAAATTATTGTAACAATGATACTGTGAAATAGTGGGAATGGTTTTTGTGCTGTTTGTAGCTTAGGTTTTTTTTTTTTTTTTTTTTTTTTTTTTTATTTTTTTTTTTTTTTGGTACCAGCATGCAATCTTGTATGGGTATTGTGTTTACTCTTCTAGTTTTTTCCATCAAAGCAAAGGGTTATTGTAATAGTTGAATTTCAGGTTGGACTGCGTTATTTAACTGGAGATATTTCTGGTGGCAATGCTCGTTGCATTGCAATGCTTCAAGCATTTCAAGAGGCAATAAAGGACTACTCAACACCGCCGGAGAAAGCTCTGATCAGAGACCTTACTGCAAGAATCGGTAGTTATGTTTCATTTCTGATCGAGTGCAGGCCCCTTTCAATTAGTATGGGTAATGCGATTAGATTCTTAAAGAATCGGATTGCCAAGTTGCCTATGTGTTTGTCGGAGTCTGAAGCAAAGGCCTCTCTGCAATCAGATATTAATCATTTTATTAGTGAGAAGATACTCATTGCTGACAAAGTGATAGTCAAACATGCTGTGACCAAAATTAGAGATGGGGATGTCCTCCTCACATATGGATCATCCTCAGCTGTGGAAATGATATTGCTACATGCACATGAGATGGGGAAACAATTTCGCGTAGTCATAGTGGACTCTCGTCCAAAGCTTGAGGGTCAACTTTTACTTCGCAGATTGGTGGCTAAGGGTCTTAACTGTACATACACACATATAAATGCTGTTTCGTATACTATGCATGAAGTCACTCGAGTTTTCTTAGGGGCTGCTTCAGTTTTGTCTAATGGAACTGTTTACTCAAGGGTTGGGACTGCTTGTGTAGCTATGGTTGCTCATGCCTTCCATGTTCCAGTATTGGTTTGCTGTGAAGCATATAAGTTTCATGAAAGGGTTCAACTTGATTCCATATGTTTTAATGAACTTGGTATATAGTTTTGACCATTTGATTTAATCTGATTCTGTTGGTCTCTGTCTCTACATGCTTGGATTATTCATGACTTTTTACTTTTTTGCCAGGTGACCCTGATGCAATTTTGAAAGTTCCTGGTAGAAGGGAAATCAGTTACTTAAAAGATTGGACTAGTAATGAGAATTTGCAACTATTAAATTTGATGTAAGTTTCTAGAGTGATTGTCCAATATGCTTGCAAATTAATTTTTACGTTTTCATAACTCAAAACTCGTCTCGTCTTTCAACAGGTATGATACAACTCCTTCAGATTACATTTCTATGATTATTACGGACTATGGCATGGTGAGTTTTCTGTCAGTTGTAGTGGAGCTGTGGATCTATTGGTCCAGAAACCAATATAATCTTGATTTGTCATAGACTTGTCTAAATTTTGATTATTTTCCTGTAGTATGGTTTGAATAGGATATCTCTAATTGTATACCTGGAATCCAGCATGGTTGAATCTAATATATATCAAATTCATATATAACATGAACATTGGTTCATCATCTGAAATACAAAGTAGTATCTTTCATGGAATCATGTCAACTAGTTGGTTTGCTAGAATAGTAAGAATTCTTATTGCTTTGCAACTAGTTTTGATTTGTCATAAGCAATGAGCTTATTATGAACATCACCTGATTAGAAAATAAGGTCATCTTTTATTTATATTATAATCACTTGAACCCTTATGAACTATGATTGGGAGTATTGATTATTTGTCAACTATCTCAGTATCAGAACGTGAGATGATATTTACTGTTACTGTTTTAATATGTATATTTCAAAAGACTAGTATACCCTCATGTTTGGATGGAGCTAGGAAGACCAAACAGAAAATTTGGAATTCTATTTTCTTTTAGTTGGGCCTTGAGGTGGGGGAAGAAAGGAAGGATATTGTTAGTAATAACTTCTACAAATTCCCCATTTTTCAAAATCAGCAAATCACCACATGTCATGTTAAACAATATATATATATATATATATATATATATATATATATATATATATATATATATATATATATTTTTTTTTTTTTTTTTTTTTTTTTTTGGTGTATTGTAATGAATTTGATGTTTACCAATAAATTATGGGGTCATGATTAATACAAATATGTCGCTTTATAAAGGCTTTTCTTTGGGTAGAAAATTAAACTTAAACTTGTGAAATATGTTTTTCTTTTTGGGACTTAGATGATAGAACTAAGTTGATTATTTTTAGTTACAATTTCCATATGGCATATGCCATGTTTTCAAGTCATGACCATTTTGCACCCCACCAAGAACCTACTGCATTCTAGGGAAAGGGAACTTCCTGTCCTTCCTGTTAGATGTTAGATGTAATCTGTGTTATGATTCTTTTCCTGTTCAATTTCTGCCCTTCCTGTTCATGAATGCATTTCTTCTTGATGTTCAGTTATTTGAATTCTGCAGATTTTGTTTTTGTAAATTTCACATTCTCACTGGACCTTTGTGTACTCTCTGCACTATAAATTAGGAAGTGGACCTTACTTTCAAAAGCTTCCCTTTGCTGTTCCTATGAACTTTTGTATTTGTTGCTCTAAAGCTGATGCAATGATGGATGATTGCCTGATACACGTGCACTCGTACATACACTCACTTCTTGTCCTCCAAGCTGTGCGTCTATCAAGTTTGAATTTATGAGTTTGTGTCTTTGCATTCCAGATTCCACCGACAAGTGTGCCAGTCATTGTGCGGGAATATCGGAGGGAACACTTGTGGGGCTAGGCAAGAGGACAGTAATAACCACATCACATTTTTGTATCCTGCAATGAAGATTGTGTTGCCAAACGACAGAAACATGGCAATAAAGCTTGAATCTTCTAGTCTCTTCACACCATGTTCTTAATTTTGGAATAACGTTTTCTTGTATCCAATTTTACCAATGTTTAGTTATTTTTTTGGTCTTAACCTGACTCTGTGTAGAGTGCGAATCCTCGCCTCTCCGGGCAGTTATAGTGATGCATCCCGGCCCATGTTTGTAGCGAATCCATTTTTCCCCCTTCCCCTTTTTTGGGGTTCCAAATGTACTTTTGGGAGTTTAGTTGTAAGAAGCAGAGAGATGTTCAATTTTCAGAGAAGATTATATGTAATTTTGTTATCTCGGCTTTTTTATATCTACTACATATTCTCTGTGGCTTAAGCTTTTTTCTATGCTAGACTTTTGGTAAGCTCCTTGACCCTCTCAAGGGCGTTTGGATCATGACCCATACCTAGCAGTGGTTTTCATTGTATTTTAGAGAGATACCCTTAAATTCCTCATACCTAGCAGTCCCAGCCATAAATTTCCAAAAAAAAAAAAAAAAAAAAAAAAAAAAAAAAAAAAGAATCAATGATACCAAGGACTTTGGGGCGGAGGTTGCGTCATTTCATTGGTTGTTATTCTAAGCATCTTTACAAATTAGTTCAATGTAAAGAAGGCAACAAAGCTTTTCTTGGCCGTTCAGCAACATTGTTGTAAATATGCTCAAATTTGTCGTGTTGAAGAGTTGTTAAATACGAGTATTATTGGAGAGAAGCGTTGATGGATTATCTTACAGAGCTTGCCTGCATCAATTGCATAGCAGCGGAGGTAATAATGTAAAGAACCCTTTAAAACACCTGTGATAAATTTAATAATAGTAGAGAATGTCTTGCAATCAACTCAGAACTACAGCTAAATCCTTTTGGAAAATATTTTTCAACTTTTTAATCATTTATCCCAATTCAAGGGTTAACAATGTGGTTCAAATGAAATTCCCTAAGAATATGTATCGTAAATGCTCATGTCATAAGGAGCCCCAGTTTGCCAAAAGCATAAAGCTATTCTGCAGTTCGGGGAATTTCACCTTTCCCATTCAGGGGCGCGACAAGAGCCAGAATAACGAAACCTCCAAGGACCATTATCAAGTTACCCATCGAGTTAATCAGCAAAGCTTCAGTGGAGTACCGAGATATAATATGGCTAGCTTGCAGAAACGTAGCTTTCTCTAAGATACCCGTCACAGTTGTAACTATGGCAAAAGCATAGATATAGACACCAAGGAAAACATGCCACGGAAGCAAGAAAGCTCTGCTGTTTCTCGAGCCACCAGGATACCAAAATGTTGTAAAGCCAGCAGCCCACTGCAAAGCAAAAATGTATCTTAGATAAGACTTTTTATCAATTTCACAATACCCGTTTACCTGACCCAACTCGAAATTGGCCCAACCCAACCAATACATGTACGAGACTACAATTGACTGGTTTATCATGATAATAAACATTATAGACAATATACCTAGATGTGACCCGATTCAAACTAAAACCAAATAACTCGTTACCCGAATACAACCCAAACTGAACTCAACACGAACTACTTTCTAACTCTAATCACAAGACAGAAGAAAAGGGAAGATGGCATTTTAGCAGGTACCTGAAGAGTAAACAGGAAAAGACAACCAAGACCAAGCCATGAGTGGAGACTGTAGAAGTGGTCAATGCCCTTATCGCTGTGGAATTTGAAAGCAGCCCAGATACCAATAATAGCTAAGCAGAAAGAGAGAAACTGCAGGGAGAGATGAACTAGCTTTTTAAAGGCTTTTGTTCCTGGAACCGTTTTGTATGCTAGCATGGCTACATGAACAAACCACAATTCACATGTCAGCAGGTGAACTGAATTCTACTCATATTAGATTGATAGTCATAGAGTGCATATACTTGAAGTAAATATCACTTTGGCTTTAGATATATTGTATCAATTCTCACAGCACATAACGTGATAACGAAACGCATGTGGTTTATATGAATACCTTTTTATTGCAGCTATATCATATAGCAGGCTAAAAAAAAAGGTTTCTATATAAGGCAACACAGATGTGTCATACAGCAGGGCAAGTATTTTCTATTTTGGATGTTAAACTATACATTAGCAAAAGTATCCTACTTTGGGTATCCAATTGAACAAATTAAGCAATGTTTAATGTTTACCTTCATAACTTACGCAAGTGAACTCAAATTTTAGGCAGAGCAAGGCTACAGCCCAGGTAGTCAGGTAGTCAGGTATATGAAAATAATGAAATGTTCAAAATGTAGTTGAAAATAGAGCATGATCAAGGTGGACTGGCCAAGCATTTCAGTGAGCATCAAGTGGTACCCAGTCTACATTACATAGTATATAATTGTTGATTAGTACATATACACAAGGAACCAATATAGTATTACCTTCTCCATTTAGCAGTACAAGGCTAATGACCATCAAAACAGGATGAACCTGCGAGATAGAGAAAAAACAACCATTATCCTGTGAAGCAATTCCACAAGCAATCATTTTCATATCTCCACTTGAAAGAAAGATATGATCAGCTATAACCAACCAGGCTAATGTTGACATCTGACAGATTTTTAAGGCAGAGTGCAATTAAGTGTAAGTGCCAAATTGGAGCAACAAATATCAGCACTTATCACAAATTATGGTTATCTAACAATTTCAATTAGTGTCCATTATCAACATGAATATCTTTAGAAGTCCTGCATAAAATATTCCTCTCATCCTTCTTTTAATCCTTTACCATGAGTGAATTATACATATATACCCTAAGACAAAAAAGATTCACTCCAAAGTCCGAACAATACATAGGAATCAACTAATACTCATGATAATATAGAGGTCATTGTGATTAGTCCACTCAACTGCTCAAGTGACATCCTTTGACTCATCAAGAGAAGCATACCCACTCAAAAAGGATGGCATGATACACATCACAAAAAATGCACGATAAATAGGCGAAATATCATCAGCATTTAGCACATGTGATAATGAATTACACTCCATAACACATGCTTCGTAATAATATTAAGAGTCGCTCAATCAAGTGCCCTTTGGTCCTCTACAAAGTAATTTGTTCAAAGTTTGAACAAACTACCCACGCCCCTATAACCCTGTCCCAGTACAATCTCTAAAGAGCTCTTACAACCTGAGACGCTAATTCAAAGTGTGAACTGTGAACACGAACTAATAGGAATCAAACCAACCAAATAAACATGAGAATGCTGCTCTTACATTGTCATACATAAACAACCGAAAGATTAAACAATATTGATTCCTCGGCATTCCTTAATTTGACCATTAACAGTTCAATCACACAGTACAATGTATAAAATCTAGAGCAATTATACCTTAATATGACCTAAACTTTAGCAAAATTACATAGATTCTTCTCAAAACATAAACTCGAAATTAACCCAAAAGACAAAATCTTGTAGCACCAGGACTTTTACAATGCTGAGCTGCAATATTAACAATTTCTTCCATCAAAACCTACTATTTCTTAAACAGTTTCGTGTAAATATTAACCAAAATTTCTCCAATTCATCATTTTCATCAATCATTCCAAATATCAAAATCTTCCCACAATCAAATATAACATTACAATTGTATAAACTAGAAATTCAACTTTAACACATAATAATCAAACCCAATTAAAATTGAAATGTGCATTAAAATTAATTTAGAAAAAAAAAAAAGAAGGGGGAGAGAGAGAGATTACATTGAAGATTTGAGCTTTATTATCAGAGATAAGAGCAAGGCCACCTCTATAATGAATAGTCCAAGTGAAAACAAGAGCAGCCACTATGATTCCGATCAATCTAATCACCATGTAAATGGGAAATTTTACAACTGGAACCGCCATTTTTGTACCTTCAAAGCTTCACCCGAAAAACCCAGAATTAATTTTACAAGAAATCAAAAAACAATTAAGGGTTTTTGAGGAATGAATCAAAGAATGAAAGATTCAATTGAGGAGTAAAGGTTAATGGATTTGAGTTGAAGTAATAACAATGGAAGAATATTCTTGAATTGAAGTAATTAAAGGGGGAAAATTTAGAAGATGGGGATGAGATTCGATCTGGGATAGAAAAATTGCGAAAGAGAAATGAATTGAAGGAAAATTTTGAAACTGCAAATTTCTGGGTTTATGTTATGGCACCCATTACTTTGCCATTACTTTAGTAAGTCGACATGAATTTCTCAAGTGTGTAATGCACACATTGGTCAAAGGGGAGGAGATGAGAAAGAATAGGGTTAAACTTTTTTTGACAAGAGAATAGGGTTAAACTTGTATTGGTCTAGAGCCTAAATCAATGATGTTTTTAGCCAATGTTAACTATGGAATAATATAATTACGGAGTAGTTAAAGTATAATCCAAAACCGTGTATATTGTAATTATGAGATTTGGATTCGAGTTTAATCTACATTTATAATTATTGCACGTGTGGCCGCTTAGTATTAAGATAAAAAAAATCTTTACAAGCTACTAATTTGTCAATCACTACCTCAAAACGAAATAACCATTAATATTGCTACTTATGTCCACATATCGATGAAATTTAAACAAAAGGAGACGTCATAATAATAGTGTAATCTATTTTGTACATTTAACTCGTAAATAAACTGCTCTCAAAAAAAGAAAGAAAAATAGTAAATAAACTAAAAAATACTCCACTAACCCAGATAATTAAACAAAGTGTTGGTCAAAATTAGTATAGGAAACGACTTTAACAAAATTTCGCTATTAATTTTCATTAGAAAAAATTGAAAAGAATAATCCCATTTTTGGCAATCTTCTCAAAACAATCCCACCTTTGCGCATTTCACAAATAATCGCACCTTAACACCCCATATTATCAAAACAAGCCTTTTTTACCTTCAACTTGTTTTACAGGTTAATTTTTCTTTTTAATTTTTTTTTAATCTTCTTTTTCCACCTCACCCCCTTCATTCAACCACCATGACCATACATCACCACTGAACAGACCACCTTCCCACCATCACCACCAAACTGACCAACTCAGATGCAACCCCAGCCCCGCCCTGCCACCTGAGCCACGCCCACCCAAATCCCACAACTCTCTTGAACAGCCACCATCCCTACCCCTTACCTAATCTCAACCGCCATTATAGCAGTGCGGAGAGAGATTGAAAAGATGAGATCTCAACCGCCATTGATTCCGTTTCGATCAAGCTCCGAGATTTTAAACGACGACCGCGTTTCGTAACCAATTCTCAATTTTCGACGCCATTTTTTCGTCTTTGCTGTTTTTCCATGGATCGTTGCTCTGTTTTCCGAGCATTTCAACGGGGGAATTTGACAATTTTCGGTGATTCACCTCCAATTTCAATTTTCGGGGAAGGGGCTGCCATGTCCAATCCCCACCCCAAGTCCCCTCTTAACCTCCAAATCGAAACCCACTTGAATCGGAAACCTCGTTCAGTTGTGGTGTCTGGGCCCGAAAGCGAAGGGAATCAGACCTTTATCCGGCCCAGAACTCGATCAACGGCGCCAGCTGGGCGGCGGAGTTTCTCAGCGGCAGAGGAAATGGAAGGGGGAATCGGGGAAGAGGAAGTAGAAGGGGGAACGGGGAAGGGGAGGGAATCAAGGAGGGCAGCTGGGTCCGGCGAGGGAGGGGGCTCCGGCAGGGTAAGGAAGAAGAAGCTAAGGATTTAATTTTTTTGTTTATTTTTTTGTTTTTTAAAAAAATAACAGAAACCAATTAAAAGACGACACGTGGAAAAAGACCTTCTAAATAGGTTACCAATTTTATTAGAAGGTTGTTTTGAAAATATGGGGTATAAAGGTGAGATTATTTCTGGAATACTCAAAGGTGAGATTATTTTGAGAAGATGTGTCAAAGGTAGTATTATTCTTTCTAATTTTTCCTTTTCATTAATGTTCTATGTTATTTTATTCTTTCCATCGAATGTGAAGATGTTTAATCCATCAAAAGCTTGAAACTGCCAAGTCATAATCCATAATATTGTAAGTTTTTTTTTTTTTTTTTAATTAATATAAAGTGTTCAAATTAGATCTCTACCATGCTTTCTTGCTTGATGATTTCTTAGTTATTGTATAAAACCCGTGTATAATCAACGTCTTCCATTTAAACAAACTTAACTTCATTTTGCACCCTTATAAATTTAACCACTACAGTGCTTATAATTCAAAGTCTTCGAATCCTGCCATCTTATTTACCAATTGTTGATAAAAATATGTAACACCCACATAGTTTACTAGCTCAACGAGGTCGAATACACAGTGAATTAACAGTATAGACATAGAAGAGGTGGAATTTCAAAGGTCCAAAGATGAAGAGAAAGAGTGGAATGAATCTCAAAAGAGGATACACGGTGATAAATTGTAGTATTGAATTGTCTTTGACACTAGCCACCACAAAAACTGCTAAAATGGAAACTCATAAAACACTAATAAATGCAAACTTGTTTGAAACACAGAAATATAATAACAAAGCAATGGTCATCAAATTGCTCCCTTGGCTACTGTACTCGAGATCTAGTTAACAATTACTCAATTTACTCCAAGTACATGTCAATGACAACTGCAAACTACAAAGTAACATCATTCATTGCCAGCATAAACGCATAACTTAGCTTTATTCTACTGCAGCAGATACTAATATCATCTGCTGCTGAAGCCACCGCCAACTTTTTCCAGGAGTTAAATAGAATCTACCTCAAACTAAACAGAATACATAAGGATGTGAGAGATATAGATATTTGCCCACTAATTGCTCAGCTCATTATTCTAAAGAAGCAAGAGATTGTGAATCCTATGCCAGAACACCACTAATCAAGGCAAGTATTCTTCAATCTGCCAACAAGGATATTGGGTTTAACCTAATTACGACCTACTGCGAGACCTCTAAATCTTGGTCTTGGGGTCTCTCTATAAACAAGCCAAACCACCATGACCACAAACGAGACCAGCAAACCTAGCTTTTGCATTGCTAGGACATTGACAGTGTGCCAACTACATGGCACGGTACACGTTATTCCCATAACCCTGCCCCCGCCCCCTTCCAACATAACCGTAGCCATAACCCCTCCCATAATAACCACCTCGTGATCTTCCACCACCGGGTCCTCGGCCACCTCGAAATCCCCTGTTTCTTGGGAAATTGCCAAACGTCTGCATGGATTAACCCAAGATTCAAATTAAAAGTAGAACTCTGCATCAGGGAAGGAAAAAAAAAAAAAAAAAAAAAAAAGGAAACCAAGTCGTCCAACAAAACAACCACAAGCATATGAATTATACATTTATACATCAAGCTCAAGCAATTTAAAAAGCTGTGAAGCATCCAAAGGACTAACACCACCCAACAATGATCTGCCAAGGTTTGGGAAGGTCCAGATATATGCTTCCCTACAAGCCCCAACCACTACAGACTATACAATATAGATCATATACACCCCGCCTTGTCACCCCTCATGATTCACATAACTGTACTCAGCAATATGATCATTGTACGACTATAAACAAAGAGGGCAAGATCCATACCTCAGTATCTAGCCTCATTTGATCAGAAAACCGAGTCCTTCCGTTACGAGATTCGCGATCAAGGGCATTGCAAGACAAGGTGTCAAAGAAATCGTCCTTCTTATAAACAGGCTACATCACAAAAATCAGTCAAGACATCAGAACTCGATATTAGTCATAGAAGGAAAACAAAATAGAATACAACAATGGGAGATAAAGCACCTTTGAATCATTTTGTAGCACATCAACATCATCTTCGTCTTGATACTCTAACCCATCATCAGCCTTGGCTTTATTCTTACCCAGATGCCCCCATACCTCATCTTTCTTGAATTTCTCATTCATCGCCTCAAAATCAAAGTCTTCAGTAAAGTTGGCCACAGGACGAGAAAACTGCAAGAGCAAGCAAAGAATGGCAGTCAATTTACAAAGCTTTTGAATAACTAGCTAATTAGCTATCTTGCTTGCTTTTCTCACCTTAATTGGTATAGGAGCTAGGGAAAAGGCAGGATAATATTAGTAAAGAATTAAACATACATGGGATGACGGGAAAAAAGAAGATTTCAAAGCAAAAAGACCATACATCAACTATAAAAATCAATAGTGCCCAAAAACTTTAATGGCCATGCTTTTCAATTACTTCAGAGAAAAATTTACAAGATAATCTCTCTACTGAACCATCACATGATCATAAATTAATAAATGTAATTACTAAAAGCATACAGGATAAATCCAACTGCACTGGCTAAATAAGAACAAAACTGAGATAAAAGTCATTTAACAAGTACACATAAATAGTTGGGTTTAATATGGGGGAATATTCCAGTTAATTTTCCCTAAATTTAACTTTCTGACTGAGCCATCCCGACAATGGAGTTGCACTAACAATTTACAGCCAAGGCTATGATTCTGCTTATTTAACTAATATTGCTTAATTAAGAAATAATCAGACCAGTGGAATTAATAAATCATCAAATTTCACATATTTGGAAAGTACACATTAATACAAACCTGATGACATCTCATTAGATGATATTTAATGTTAAGGATTAGGGCATATATAAGGTCAAGTCATCTCATTAGATGATATTTAATGTTAAGGATTAGGGCATATATAAGGTCAAGTCAAATCCAGAGATCATATCAGATCAGATTCTGATGAGGTGTACTAAACATAGCCTAAGGCACATCACAAGAATTCAAAGCGGAAGGCACACAGCACAGCAACAGTAGTTGAAAAACTTCCTGAAGAGGAAACAAAGATATAATTTCCAAACTGTACACACATATTTCAATTTCTCAAAAGACAAAAGGTGAAGAAATAAACAAGCATATAGAATATGACCACCTTCACTCAAGTAGGATTCAAAAACAAAATGCATTATAAGTGCTGTAGGAGGTAAGCAGTACCTCATTTCCTCCTCTTCTTCCTCCACGGCCACCCCGATTGACATAACGAGTTTGGGAAGGAAACACATTTATCTATAGAGAAAGAGGCATTGAGCAGCTAAAGCATTAGCAAGTTTGCATAAATCACATGCCCTTTTTAAACAATATAAAGACTACTTTGCAGCTAATGATAAGAACGAAACAAGCAAAAGAAAATTATGAACCTGACGTGAACTGAAAATTATATAACAGCGGTGACAGAAACAGAACATCAAAAACGTACCTTCGAATTTGATGGTGAGGGAAGCGGCAAAAGTGGTGCCCGAGCTTCTGCTGTTCCTGGAGCATTCACTGCTGTTGATGAAATTGTAGATGGTTGTGGTGATGACACCAAAGCAGGTACCTGAACCACTTCAACATCCTTCTGCTCCGTTTGTTGTGCACTCTGGGATACGGTGGGTCCAGGCTGTAAAAATTGGCCTGGAGTCACCAGCGCAGGTGAATTGGACTTTCCCCCAGCAGCAGATAGGGATTCAGAAAAGCTGTTGAAGGGCATAGTAGTAGTAGACATAGGTTTTGCCTGATTAGGGATCAACGGTCCAACAGTGCTTTTATCCAACACATTAGATATGACAGGCGGCACCAGAGGCGAGTTAGTACTCTGGGATGATACAACTTGAGCAGGAACCAAGGAGGGCATCCAATTAGTTGAGGAGTCTTGAGCTACCGCAGAAGACTGATCAGGAAGCACATTGGATTGCATAGACAGAGTGCTGCTAACAATAGGCTGTAGCAACGGAGGGGGAAAGTCCACGGATTGCGAAACTGGGATGTTGGAAGCTCCAGTGGGTAGAGATGAATTCATGGTCGGATACTGAACGGGTTGTTGAGCTCCAGCGGGTAGAGGCTGCATTGAGGGTGGCATTGAAAAACCTTGAACAGGTCGAAGCAATGGCTGTTGTTGTGCCTGTTGGGAGCCTGAGGGTCCATAATATCCTTGATAATACATCGGTACAGAGATACCATTGACATTAGTTGTGGGTGGAGTTGAAGGATTCCATTGAGCCAAAATCCCTCCAGGTGGATACATGGGGACACTGTTCTGATGAGTAGTTATTGGAACTCCAGGCTGTGACATTTGGTTACTAAAATCTGACAAGGATCCAGCAGCAGAAGGAACAGAAGCAGTAGGTATACTTGAAGATGCAGTTGGAGTGGTATAGTGAGACTGTCCCAAGGAAGAAAATGAAGAAAATATTATTCATAGCGTGTGCCATTTTAAGTATGTGCATGCTTAAATTTCAGTATAAGGAAATATCTAGTTTTCAATTGAATTGCATGGAACTAGCAATTTAAGTATGTGCATGCTCAAATTTCAGTATAAGGAAATATCTATTTTTCAATTGAATTGCATGGAGTAGATGTCAATGTAGTGCCATCATTTGACAGCCATGCAAATTTGGAAAATAGTAATAAAAGATCAAAAGGTGCAAAGTGTGATGTCCTCCAGAAATCATTCTCATATTTAACAGGAATCTCAGCATTAGAAGCAATTTGGTTGAAAAAACTGACAACAGGATGATGAACAGATATCGAGACAATCCAAAAAAGATTCAGATACCAAGGAAGACCTTACAGCAGATCACTTAAGGAAAATAGCCCACAGGAAATTACGATATTGCGCATAATACATAATATATCTACAGTGAAGATATCTAATCTAATTAGACAAAACTGAGAAAACAAGCAAAAATAGCGTTAACTTAGTATTAAGAGACAATAAGATTCACAAATAAATGTCAATCAATAACCCAACATACTCCTCTTCTTAATCTAGACCACAATACTTGATTAAAGCTTATAAAGGGATATCTTGACATAATTTCTATTTCATCAATATATGACCTGAGATTACTTGCGCTTGGACTTCTACTAGATTGTATTGACCAATTACCTGTATGATAGCTGGATCACTATGAACTGGCGGAGCTGTCTGTACGGGTGGGGAAGATTTGACCTGCAAGTCCTGTATGAAAAGAAAAAAATTGTACATGTATTCAGCTTTACAATAATATCTTTGGAAATCTTTCCAATATTCCAACAATATTTAAAAAAAACAGTGCAAAAATACAAATGATATGGTGTAAAGGACAATGAGATGAGGGGAAATTAAGGTGCCAAAAAAATTCTTCTACAAAATGTGTTACAAGAGTACAACATTGGAGAATAACTATACACTGTTTCCATTCTGTAAAAGACAACTTAACTGAAGGAAATGACAACTTAATGTATGTGTTACTTAATACCAGGCACCAAAAAGGAAAAATCTTTGCAATACAAGTTGTAGTTAAATGAAGTGCAATGAAGTCAATGGATCATAACTATAAGATGGCACATATCGATATGTCATACAAATTACAAACTCAAGACACTCAGAAAGCAGCAAAAAATAACACAGTAAATAGCATACTGTGAGGCTGAAAGACAATAATTAGGTTGAAACTTGTTGTTTACAAGATAATAGAATAGTTTCCCGTCCAAAAGTTTCAAGTTTCAAGCAAGGTTAAGTTTACCTTGATATCACTTCCTCTAAATACTATATATTCATAAACTTTGTCACTCGCAGGAACTTGTTGACCATCCTTTCTGCGACCTTCTGTTCCAAAAGATCGAACTGCAAAAAATATCATTATCAGGATCTTAATTTTTCAAGCAATAATAAACGTCTGTTAAGCACTAAGAAGCAAGTAATACTCTTCAGAGTAGAAGGTGAGAAAGAAATAACTACATTATAAAATGAACTCCAACTATGCATTAGACAATTTTTGGAAAAGAAACTGTACCAAATTTATGAAGCACATTTTGCAAAAATATCTGTCTATTTATTGAAGGCATCTCAACAAGAAGTTGAGCAACTTTAATCTACCATGTTGCAATTTGCAGGCATTGCAGCTGATAGACACCAGAAAAATGTCCATATTTGACAATAATTTCACTGAACAAGGTTACTTGTCAGCAGAAAATTCTAAATCTCCAACTCCTTCCACCAATAAAATTTATTAAATCATCTTTCGTTTGGTAACTAAAAAGAATCATAATGCAGCATAAAAAATTCTCCAACTACAAGACTTAGGTAGCTTTACACAATCCCAGAGAAATTAATTGTTTAATTTAAAGCACAAGCCTACAATATATTGCAAACTTTAACCACCACATGATCTACAACTCTACTATGTCACATCCCTACTGGGCCAATAGGTTATTATAATGGAAATGAGGAGTGAGAAGACAGAAATGCAACAGAATGCAAATTTCCGATAAATGATGCAGAAGCAGCTAACTACTCTGTCAAACCAAAGATGCAAACAGCCAAGAGCCCAGGACATCTAAAATCACGGTGAAGTAGTTAAAAACCCTCCGTCCTCTTTTTTGTTTTTTCTTTTTTTAAAAAAAACATGGAAATTTCAGTGTCAGGTCATAATTAATTTTAAAATGGAAACAAACCTAGGAGAAAGCCCCATCATAGATTCAATAGCAGAGCAATTCACAAGCCTTTCAAAGGTGCTAACTAAACAGCTTGTGTAAAGAGCAGCCTCTAGATCATTTCATCAGGAGTTATGGTAAGGAAAGGCATGAAAAGGAAGCCACTTTCTAGCTTTAGCTTTTGGCTTCATCAATTGTGTGGAACAAGATGAAAATAAGAAAGCGACAAACAGGTAACCTTTATAATAACTTCAATTCCTTCCCAAACTGATGCACTTTCATATGGAAAGAAAGCTAATGACTAAAATTCACTTCATTTCCTTGAAATTCTTCCAATTCCAACCAATTTAACCAACCAACATTGCTAATTCCCTTCCATTTATCTCTCCTCCTGTCCACTCCTTTCAAATTGACCAACCAACTTCTCTTCCTATCTTTCCCTCCCCTCCTCTTCCTTTCCTTTCTAATCTATTATCTTTTTAATCCAAATCCAAATAAAAACCTGTTAAGCTAAGCTCTGTCAAAGGTTCCACCTAAACCACTAGTAAAGCAAACGCTATATCAGGCCAGAATAGTTGGAATACCTCTCAACTAAACCTCCAATGCTCGGACCTTATAAATAAAAGAAAATTATCCTTCAAGACTTCAAGTTAGAGGCGCAACCATCAAACAACAAATCCAAATAATCATACTTTCGAATATATTGAAGAAAAAAACCTCATCGCAGCATTTAACTCTTGAGAATCTTAACAAGGAAGAAACACAACAATCAAAAAAATCTACATCTTCAAATTCCCCCAAGTACAAAGAACTTATATCCTATAACATTTCATCAAATCCTAGTATTCAACCTCAATATCAAAATACGCATCCTTAACCCTAACATCAAATAAACAAAACCTAACCAACTTACAATCAATCAATTCAACAAAAACAAATGAAAATCAACGCAAAAAAAAACCCGAAAAAATCGCAAGAAACTAAAGAGTTATATACCATTGCGAAGACCGATGCTAGCCTCATCGGTATTGATATTGAAGAGAATGCCTTCGTATCGGATTTCAGACTTGGAAGTTAAGCTAATCAAACTGCCGAGGTAAGTATCTGCGGAACCAGTAGCAGCAGATCTAGAAGCTTCGGCCGCCATTGTTGTTCGCTTCTATCGAACACTCGAAACGAGGAGAGAGAGTGAGAGAAAAAGATCGTTGATTGATTGATTGAATTAATATTTTGATTTTCTGGATTTGTAAATTTTGTTTTGCAGAGAAAAATGGGATGAGGGAGACAAACCCTATATGTCTCTTTCGATGTTTGGAAATTGAAGGACTCTATTTCTTCCTTGGGTTGAAGATTCATTTTATAAGGATTTTCTTGTCTTTTTTAATACTTCCTCCGTTTTTTATTATCTGCAACAATTACTAAATGTGGACGCTCCATATTATTTGCAACAAGTTTTTTTTTCCTTTTACAGTAAGTTTAGGCAATGTAAAATTCCGAAATTACCCTTAAAAAAACTAATTACATACTAACCTAAAATGTAACTATGATTAATAAACCCTATAATCTAACATCCTAACCTAATCCTTCCCACCAAAAATCAGAATCCCCTCCCCCTTTTTCCATCAACAATTGAGGAACCCTAATTTATTCACCTCCTCACCTCCTCACCTACCATCATCAATGCAGCTCTCAACCACCTCCATTAATGAAGCTCTGTTACATCTTCCAACCTTTATTATGTTTCGTTTTTTCATTTTCGAACTTTCTGCCTTCTCCCAAAGCAGTGCCCGTTTCTGTTTCTCTCTCTTCAACTTGAAACCCTAATCTTTGCGATTCTCCCTCTTCAACTTGAAACCCAGAAAATGAGTTCCTTAGACAAAAAAAAACCCCGATTCCGGCGTCATTGCTACCTATAAGTGTGACAAACGCAGTGGGAAGATGCGTTTGTTTGGAACCCGTACTGCGATGTACTTGGATATGAAGCGTAGGACAGGGGGGGTGCGAAACAGACCCCATATGAGTCCGATGATGAGCCTTGTGTTGTTAAGAACCCAGATCTGGGTAAGGCTGGTGAGGGTTGTACCAAAACTGTTCCAGAAGTCATCATTCTGGACAGCGATGATGATGAACCCCCTGTTCCTGTCGTTTCGCCTCCTAAAGCCGTTGAAGAGGGAGCGACTATTTTTTGGGCTGATGTCAGATCTAGGGCAAAGGATGTCGCTTGTGGCAAAAAAAGGCAGAGATCTGAGTCCCTTCCTGCTGAGAGCGCTGAAAGCTGTGCGCCGTAGCTTGATTCTCCTACTAATCTAGCAACGTAACTCATTTCTTACCCTCGAATTAATTGGTTCAGCGTTTTCTTGTTCTTTTATTCTTTCATCTTTTCTAGGGTTTAGGGTTTTTTTCCTGACTTGATGTTATATGGTTGAAATGGTTTGACTGGATCTTTTCATGTTTGGTGCATGTTATTGTGGACTGTAATTGGCTAATAATGTGGAGTGGTTGTACTGATTTGTGTTGTGTTGCCTTATTTTGATTGTTGTTGGCCTTACCTGGGTTTGTCTGGTGTATTGGCAGTTGCTGGTTCTAATTGTTGCAATTATTGGGTTTAAATGTCCTTTGATGTCATTTTCTGTGATTATTAGTTTCAGTTATGCTGTGATGGGTTTGTTAATAGTTGTGCAAATTCATAGTTGCCTAATTATTATGTTGTGTTGTGTATGTTTGGAAGGCTCAAATGCCCTGTGATTAGTAGCCTCAGTTGCATGTTGGTTGCCCTACTTATGTTGTGCTTGCTGTGTTTACTGTTCTTCACAATTATTGTAGCCTGTTGGAGGGTTGATAAGTTGTTTTAGATAATCATGCTCTGTGTTGAATTATTTGCCTGAGTTCATCCAGTATAACTTGGAGGCTGAACTAATAATGGATTCTTATGCCATTGGAGTTCAGAGTTGTTGGTTGCCTGAGTTGATTTAGTAGTGATTTGGTGAATGATGATTAACCTTTTTGAGTCCCCTAAACAACAATCTGTCCCTTCGCCAGTTTAGAGTCCCTTGATTTTTTTTTTTTTTGTGTTGTGGTTGGGAAATCCATATGATGAAGGGACTCATTTGATACAACCAATTCATAACTTGGATTAGCTCCAACAACTTGATATAACAATTGTTGTTGAGGGAACCAATTATGTAATTTTTGTGAAAAAATAAAAACCCTCTGATGGATTTATTTGTTTCCCTGTTTTGGATTATGATGCTTAGTTTGTGTCCCTAGTTGGTTGTAAACCTTCCAGAATGTTAATCATTAATTGAACCAAAAAATTTTACAATATCCAAAAGAAGCTAGCTTAGACTGCCATACAATATTCATGGGCCTGACTTACAACAAAATACACATAACCAATGATTAACCTACAGTAATGAACAAAAAAAAAAACCAGAAACCATTACATACAATGATTCTTGCTGCTTCATTTACTTCCATTGGTTATGTGTGGCAGTCTTACTAAAACTTCTACATGTGTCAGTTGCTGTGTTTAGTCTGCATCAACTTGCATCCCTTCATCTTCTTCATTTCCTTGATCAGTTGATATGAAAATGGTGTTGAGGTAGTCAATAGCTTGTTGAACCACCCTCCTGTCCACCTGTAAAATTTCTGGTAGCATCCCAATCCTTTCTAGCCTCTTCTTCCCTTTATGTGGTGGGGTGAAGTTATTCCCTCCTAGGTGATTGAGTATTTCTTCCATGCAGCATTGTAGGGTTATCCAACAATATTTGTTCAACACTGGGTTGAACAACTCATATGCTTCTTTAACCCTATCTATGAGTTCCACTAAATTCTTTGGGAATGATTGGTATTATAGTGATTGTATCACACTGAACAACCCTAGATCTAGCACATTTAAATCTGAGGACTGAGGGGGCTGGTATATGAATTGAATGTTGAATCTATCTGACTGACAGGCTGCCTGAAATTCCTCATCCATTGGAACTTGATGGGGTCTGGCATTATCCCATTGTATCCATATGTCCTTGGGTAGATTAGAAGGCCATTTAGCTTTGATGCCTGGAATTACATGGTTCAATAGCATTGCCCTTATGGCTTCTTTGTTGACATTCTGTGTTCTTTGATTTCCACCACACCAGATTCCCTGTTTTTGCTTTTTTTTCTTTGCTGTGCTTTCATACACAAATGGATAAATACCATACTTTCCATCATGTATGACTTCTCCTTGTTGGTCAAAAATAGGCTTCCCAATGGCTGCCATGAACATACCCTTGACTTTAAACCTTTTGGACTGTTGGCACATGTATGGGTTTGCTTCATTTGGTAGGAGGTAGAACCTCCTGGTTTCTGGGTTCAAGTAGAACCATTTTTCATCAATATGGATAACTTGTTGCATGTCCATAAACTTTGGGTCCCCATTTACTTCAGCAGGCATTAGATGACTTAGCACCCATTTCAATCTTGCTACCTTGTGATTGTCTGTCAGATATGGATGGTTTGTGGCTGTATGTGTTCTGAGTCTGCCTTGCTTCTTCAGTTTATGGATTGTGACATGTGGTACTTTGAGAGCTGCTGCATAGCTTCTCTCAGTTGTCCTCTTATACAAGGGGACTGATTGCAGGAACTCATCTGTGTAGACCTTTGGTTTTGGTCCTGTTTTCCCCAGCTTCTTACTTCTAATATCTATCAAATTCCCCTTTGCCATCTGGGATTTAATGTCCTCAAAGAGTCTCTGAATTGTGGATCTGTGAACATTAATTTTGTTGGCTTGCTGTGTTATATATCCTCTTGGCAGAGGTCCCCCCTAGCTTCAACAAATAACCATCTACTAGTTCCCTTTTCTAGGCAACAGTGAGTTGTTTTCTGCTTGTCTGTTGATGCATGCCACCATCAATCTGATGTTCTGCAGTCCCTTGCATATTGTTTGCTTCACTGTGTCCCATTCTATTTTCATCATTAAGCATTTGTTCTATGCTGAAAAAATCATCATCTTCACTAGCTGCCATGATATTTATGCTGATGATGTTGAGTTCCCCAGATTTCAGGTCTAGTAATGAAGTGGGGGGCTATTTTTTGATTGTTGTGCTGTTGCTGAACCAAATTATGGAGCTGATGCTGCAATTAAGTTAGGACTAATTTAGGTTTTAGTCATTACTAATTATGTAATCTTTTGGAAGGAAGAAGTATTTTCTGTAATTTGTGGGAAACTCTGTTTTTATGTTGATACACTGTTGGGCAGGTTGTTTATATACCCCCCCTTAAATGAAAATTTCAAAAGGGGGGGGGGGAATTTGGATGAAATGCTTTCTTTTGGAAAAGGGAGGGAAAAATTTCGTGGGAAATGGTGGGTTGTTTTAAAAGTTTGGCTGTTTTTTTTTTAAAATTTGGGTGAAAAAATTTTAGAGGGAAAAAAAGTGGTTCAAAAAATTGATAAAGGGTCCACCTTTTTTAAAAAGTTGGACCACTTTCTCTTTCATTAAAAAAAACAGATTTTTCCCCTCCTTTTTTAATTCTTTAATTACATACCCCACTTCCTACTTTTATTCAACTAAAAAACTCTTAAAAGTTTTGCCTAGGCATGTGTGAAGTTTTACTTTGTTGCAAATAATTAAAAACGGAGGAAGTATTAATAGTTGTATGGATAATAGGATTTTTTTTTTTCTTAATTATTGTACAATTATATTTATGTCAATGTCAAAGCTTGTAAGAAAAAACATTGGAAAAGAAGTTTTATGCGGGTTATTTTGTAAGAAAATACCTTATAGAAAAATGGTAGTTTGGGATGTTAAAATATTTTTTTTCTCGGGTAGAATTTTTGATCGGATCTACGATCATTGACTCGCTTTTCGGTTTTAATTGTCACGTTCAACTCTACCAAAAGTCTCGATTGTCTCCCTTTCTTCTTTCCAACCACCATTTTGACCATCTCACTCCCATTCCTTTACCATTCAATCATATTTTCATCGTCATCTTACTTAACATCATGCATATAATCAAATTTTGGTTTTAAAGCCAAACGTGATATCGATTTTCTTGTATGAGAAAGGGGAAGCAGGGAAGCTAAAGAGGGTTGTTTGGGACTTTGGGGTGTTGGCCTTGCTGGATTGGTCTATGGGGTAGAAATAATAGAGAATATAGCACAAGAAGGAATGTGATAGCAAAGAAAAGAAAAGCAACAGTGATGTAAGAGGGTTATAGTAGGTAGTGTGGTATGTTTCGGGGTTTTTTGAGGTGTCCTGCGGGAGAGTTACAACACCGAGACTGACCTCCAGCTGCCGGTACCTGCAAAACAATGGAGACTCCCAAGGGTGGGAGTTCCGCCTCTGACGATCAAGTTAGAACGTGTTTGAGGAGTATAGTGCGGAAAGTGATAACCCCTCCTGAGTCAGGAGGGTTCTGCAATGAAGATTGCTCAGTTTTTGGGTTGATTGAATGTATATTCAATGTATGTTGTGTTTTGTGTTGTTGGGTGTTCGTCCCCTCCTAAATGAGGATGGTTCCTCTATTTATAGAGAAGGAGATCAATCCCTTTCTAGGGTTTGGTGACACATGTTATGAGGGTGACACGTGTCAGCAGGCTATTGGGACACATGTTGCTTTAACAGTGGTCCGTTTGTTAGGGGGTTTTTTACCCCCAAACATTAGCCCCTCGGAAGGAGTAGTCTCTCTTTTTTAAGAGGGATTACTCCTTTGGAAAACGAGACCGCTTGAGCCTCTTTGGTCGGCATCTGTCTAGTTCAATTAGGGAGAGATTTGATTGACTTGGAAAATTTGATACCTTGAATGGTATGAAATTTTCTGAGTTAATCAAATCATAATAATGATTGCCGCTGAACTAGACGGATGTCGACGATTATAACTTTTAGCCCCACTATGCGGATAGCCCCAGCCTAGGCGGACTGTCGACCATCAAGTGGAGGTTTGCATTCAATATTATCTGGTCGTAGGCCTTTAATTGATCATTTAGGCTATTGGGCGCTTGTTTGATCATTCGAGGGCATAACCGTTTGGGGATGCTTTGAGCAACGCTGGTTATGGCATGACCTAGATTTTATGTGCCGGTTGTACTGTTTTGCTGTGAAGAACCAGCTGTATGCTGGTTACAATGGATCATTCAAACAACCGGGAGTTATTTTTAACGTTAGCCGGTTAAAGCTGTTTGAGTTTATGACCGCTAGAACAATGTACCACCCGGAAGGGAGATGTTCTCTTCGACGAATTCACCCGAATGGGCGTCGCCGGATGCCTGAGTTTTACAGACAGATTTTTATTTTTGATCATCCGGCTGTGGACCTTCGCTTGATCATTCAAATGCATAACCATTTGGGATGCTTTTAGCAACGCTGGTTATGTCATGACTCTGGCCGTTGGCCTCAATAGGATCATCCGGCCATTAGCCTTCGCTTGATCGCTCAAGTGCATAATTGTTTGGGATGCTTTAAGCACCGCTGGTAATAGCACGACTCCGGCCGTTGGCCTCAATAGGATCATCCGGCCATTGGCCTTCACTTGATCACTTAGAACAATGTTCCTCCCGTAAGGGAGGTGTTCTCTGCGACGAATTCACCCGAATGGGCGTCGCCGGATGCCTGCTGGAGTAGACGGTTCTACTTAAGCCTGCTCAACATACTTTTTAGACCTCTTCCGATCGGTATGCTGCCTTTAAGGGACACTTGAACCAATATTAAATGTTTTTGAAAAACCAAGTAAAATGCGGTATTGAAAACCAAGTAAGGATGCACACAATACTCGTACTGAATTTGTTAGGATGGTACCTTCCGGTAGAGGATGCCTACATGCTGGACAACATTGAAATGCCTCCTACTAACTCATGATACCAAGCTCTTCAAATGGTGACATGCGGCCATGAAATGCCTCCTGGTTAGCAGAACCTAAGAGATGAATTTGACTCTCCAAGCATACAGGCGGCTCTTTGCTGAGGCGCTTCCTGCTTGACTACTCAAGCCGCTTGATTTCATGATCATGCTGCTTGTTTTGGTGTGAAAAAGCACACAACCCCACTCTCAATCTTCATCCATGCTATTTCAAGGGGCTGTATCGACCCATACACATGCGGCGAGACTTCATACATTTGATAATAAAACAAGTTGTTGAAGTACCCAGGCGACTCCTTGAAGCTTTGCTAGCTGATACCCCAGACGGTTCACCGACTAAGAGCAGTTTGAGATCAAGGGAGTCTGCTAAAGTGTGCCCAGGCGGTTTGATTTAAGTCAAGACAATGGCCAATCATTTCTATTTTGAGTCAAGACAATGATCGTGGTGGGAGCCCACACACATGAGGCAAGCTTCCATGCACTCACAACCAATGCTTAGTGTTTCGGGGTTTTCTGATGTCCTGCGGGAGAGTTACAATTCCGAGACTGGAACCGGACGCATGTACCTGCAAAACAAACGGATGCTCCGGATGGTTGGAGATCCGCCTCCGACGGTCAAGTTAGTACTTGATTAAGGAGTAATTAATGCGGAAATTAAAGTGATTGGGTCTCTCTAGGTGAGAGTGTTTAATGTGTGTAATCTGCTTTTTAGCGTGTTATCTCCCTTAATGAGGATTAAGGGAGGTATTTATAACCTCGGGAAACGTGTCAGTCTAGGTTTAGGTTAACCTTGGGCTGATTGGGCTTCCCTCGGAAGTTGGGCCTAGGTGACCGGTTATCCCAGGTGTCATGGGAAGGACACGTGTCGTGTCGTAATTGGTCCATGGTGGACGGATCATTGCTTGACACGTGGCAGGCTCCTATTGGCCCATGTGACGGACACATGGCGGAACCTGATTGGTCCACTTGTCAGATGGTGATTGGTGGGGAAAAATCCCCTAATCATTTGCCCCTCACAGGTGGCACGTGACTGGTCACGTGTTACCTGTGACAGGTATCGCCCTGTAACAGGCAACGGCCTGCTACAGGTGTCACTCGGCGAGAGGCCGAGAGATTCTCCCGCCAAAATTTTGAATTCTGGAAGTGACCCTTCGCCTTCTCACTTCGCCTATATAAAGGAGTGTTGACTTCGGTCATTTTCACACTTGAAAACTTTGTGAGAGAACATTCGGACCCCTGAACTTGCTCTGACATTTTGGACCCTTTCTGCCTACCGCCTGCTCTGACAAGCCGACTGCAAAGGATTTTCAGAACTTCATCAATCGTCACTCGTTCAGGTAACCGTCGGTTCTCTTACTCTTAATTTTCTCTTTACTTTATTCTTTTTTGAAATGGCACCACGGAAGCACACGACACGACCTAGGTTAGTGATCAGCCGGTCACCGGGGACGGCTGAATCTAGGACTAGGAGTGCCGCCTGCCCTTTTCTGGACCCATCTTTGCCCTTTATACAAAGTCCGACTGTATCTGTGTCTATGCAGAGCATGATGGCCAGAACAAAAAAGACTGCCAGGATCTCAAATTCAGACGGCTCCTCCCACAGGGTGCCGATTAGTGAAACATCTGACCAGGCGCCAGATGTGGAAGTGAAACAAAGCGGCTTGAAAGCCGGCAGTTCTGAGGGAGGAGTCAAAGTGACAATTCTACATTCTCTCCTGCTCCTTTTAAAGGAGAGGAGGCGGGCCCCTCCGGGAGAGGGGAGGAGTCGTCCTCCTTTGACTCGTCAGAGGACGAATCCGAGTTTAGCTCTTCTGACCATGCTTCCCTGGACACAGAAGAGAAAAACAGTCGGCTACAAGAGGCGAGGCTT